GGGGAAAAAGGGGGGGGGGGGGGGGGGAGCGGCGGTTAGAAAGTTAGAAGATGTTTGTAGCCCTCTCCTCGCGTACGTCATTCTATCTCACGAGGGCCGGTATTCGTTGTTTCCCATATGTTTTAACTCGGTAAATTTCATAAATTAGGTTGCTGTAAATGGTATATTTTTTCATGTAAACGCCCTAAGCGTTAATTTATGGCATGCAGGACGAAGTGGGTGTTTTCGTGACAACTTTCTTCCCTGTGCCCTTTCTATTACACTTGTCCTTTCGATTCCCTTGACTCGAAAAAAAAAACCTTCCCCCACCCAATTAAAAACGACCACAGTGCGCCCTATTTATCCCGATACTTGCCCTTTTCATTGTTAGTTTCGTTCTATTCTAATTATTCATCTCACTCCTTTTTCTATCCTTTTCCTCCTTCGTGTCTGTCACTTCCACACATTGTCATGATAATAACCGTTTTTAGTCACAAAAGAATGATATTGTTAGGGAAAAGAAACCGAAATTGTTATGGCTAAAATACAAAGCAAACCATTCGATTAGAGGAAAGTTTCATGTTAGGGAAAGTATGGTTTACTCAGAAAAATTTTGTAAGCAGCATCATGGGACTGTACGTGTTTAGCAGAAATCAGGGCAAAGCATGAAGGAGTTGGAATTGTCCTGGCTTAAGAAAGTGGAAAGTTCAGTGATGGCTGATATCCTGAATAGGAGCAACTTTTACTTTACTTTCTCTCCGCAAAGTGGCATAACGGTCAGGAAATGTGTACTGTCTTATATTAAAAGCAAGGGGAGGAAATTCCTTACAAACCATCTTTGAGTTATTTATATATCATGAGGCAAATTTTTCTTACCTTACTTTTCCTGACCTAATTGTTTCAGACAACAACCAACTTTATTTTATAGGCTAATTTCAGGAAATTATTATTATATATTTACTGAAACGGTAGAGCCGATCTATTTATTATCTGGATATTTAGATTGTTTCGTAAAATGTTTCTATTTCGTCTGGTTGGAAGTGGTATGTTCCTGCCATGAATGTTTGGGCGAAAGTGCTGCCGTAGCTGTATCCTCTCGGTGGGCTGTAAGTATAGCCAAGGTTGCTGTAAGAATTGGTATTGGATGAGGCGTAGTTGGACAAGCGAATGTCATATCCTCCTCCGAATGTAGGGCCATATAAGGAGTAAAAATATAAGGAACGTACTCTGCTTAAACTGCGTTTCCCTGTCTGAGGCAGTTTAACAGGTGCCCATCCTGGCTTGTTTACCAGTGAAAATAAAAAGGCTTTGGAGTCGTTCTGATACCTATCGCCGGAAGCTAGTAAAGAGAAAGGAACTGAAAACTGTTGTCATTTGCGACTTTCAGAATTCTGATATACCACATATACTACATTAGTTAATCCTCTTTACGCCGCAACGGCTACAGCATGCGATGAGGTAAAAACAAAACAAAAAAACAGAGGGTCATGTAGGATTATGAACTTCTGACTACATGTACTCTATAGAGCAATCGAAGACATTTAGAAATCCCATGTAAAAAGTTTCCATCAAAAGTTATAGCGCAGACTAAGATAAAAATTAATTTTCGGAACACTTAGTTTGTCGTATATCTCTTTCTTCTTTCCTGTGTGGTTCCCGAGGCGATTTATGTTTTTTTTATCCTTGAGATGGTTTGTTCTCTCACAGAGATCGGAAAGGAAGAGATCAGAAAGAATTAACTTTAAAAGCGAATGGTATCTTGCCAAATCGAAGTAATTAGCCCACTCGGCAGACGATCAATTTTTTTTTGTTTTTGGGACAAATGTCGTTTGAAGCATTTTTGAGGCAAACGCGTGGAGAGGGGTCACTGCTTCTAACTACCCAGTTTACAGTGATGAGTTAAAAAGACTTATAAGAGCAGTTGTTATGTTACCATTGTTCTTTATTTCGAAGCCTCGATACAATTACCATTGCATTTGCTCCATTTAACTTGTACACTCTGAAATTTGGGAAAAATGTTCTCTAAAAATGCCTATTCAGCATTTATCTCTCCATATTAAAGTGTATTTAACACTGAAAAATGCGCGGTTACCCCTACTTTTCTTTTTGGATTTCAATAGCCCTTGGTATGACATCTTCCCATTGTTGGGCACCGTCCTAAAGGCAGATTGATTCACTCCATTGCTCACTATCCGGCTGAACCTAAAGCCTCCTGTCAAGTGGAATGCTTTCGACGGCAGGGCTGTTACTAAAATCGCCAATTGAATTACATTGTTTACTTACCCCACGAAACACTAGCGTATCCTCCAAAAATATATCTTCCGACCCTTATTATTGTTACACTCGGTCCCTTGCCGTCACATCGCGAGTGAAACGTACTTGCAGCCCAGCCGTCCACTGATGAACGCCAGCAGCGCCTCCAGCGAAAATAAACGCTTCTTATCACCGGTGAAAGCCAGTTGTTTAACGAGGTTAAGTGGTTTCGGTTGTTTCCCACAATAACGCAGCCTTGCAAACCTAGAAAAATAGTCGACTTCCATAATCTGACAAAAGAACTATGACAAATTCGGCGCCAATTGAGCTGATTGTTTTTCGGACAGTTAATAACATTGCAACTGACCGTCAGCCAAGATCGATAACACTTATTTTTATTTTTATACCATTTTAAATTAATACTGTAACCGTTTATTCTATTTTCACTTGACTTCTCTAACCCCTAATGAATACTAGTTTTGTCTCTCTTGGTCGCTAATAAATTGAACAACATGACGCCACAATGACAGCAGATAACGTCATTATGCCAGTTTTTAATTTTGGAAAAAAATTAAATTTCTGGAAATGATTATTCTGTGTTATTTTTGCATATATTTTTTTTTTCATGAGCGGTTTCGAAGTTTTAAAGAGGGGGCCTCTGAAGCCGCCCCCCGGTAGCAAGAAGCAAAAATAACCCAGGTCTGAATAGGGTTAACTGCTCACCTCAAATCACCCGGCACTCAGACATAGTGATAGTTCATATTTAACATCTAGGATCTTGTAAGACATGACCTTTACCATTAGGACTACAGGTTCGTCCATCTCCTTTATATCCAGGTTTGCAGGTACATGTGTAGGACCCAACGGTATTGCGACATATTGCATTGATATGACAGATATCAGAGTTACTTGAACACTCGTTCAGATCTAAAGAGAATTGAAACACAACAGACTGAAAATGATTAATAAAAGTAGATACGGGAAAGGCTCAGAAATGCAAGGATGGTAGTGTCTTCACTATTTTTTCCCTTCAAGACCCTCTACAAAAAAAAAACAATGAAAAGATCTGAATTTGATATCACTGTATTTTATCTGCTTTTTGACACTTTTTGATGTGATCGGTATATACAAATTACGCATTTTGCTAATCGTTTCGAAGCCTTGTGAATTGTGAGACCATCTCTTTGCTTTTTGACAATGGCGTATTGTCATGAGGCACGGTATACAGTGCGTTTCTTAATGACGTTCAGTGTTAGAATAGATGTCTAGCTCTTCTTATCATCACAGGTTCGTCCGTTTCCGGTATATCCAGCTTTGCACGTGCATGTGTATGAGCCAACAGTATTTTAGCAAACGGCATTGACGTCGCAGTCATCAGAATCAGAAGTAAATTCGTCCTCGTCTAAACATATTAAAACACTTTCTAATTCTCAAATGGTTGATTAGAATTTAATTCATTACTATCATAGCAATTGTAAAATCATCTTCTTCTTCATCTTAAAATATGGAATTTTTGTCGTTAGCATCAGCACATCGGTAAAATCCCGACAAGCAGATGCCTCTAAAGGCGAGAGAAGAAATACAGGAAGAAGAGAGACTCTCTTCTCCCTCTCATAGTTCACTAGGCATTTTCTCTCACTTTTTCTTCCCTCTGCTAGTAGAGAGTCTCAATGGGGTGGTGGCTTTTACGGTTTTTGGCTAAAATTTTGGTTCTTTTACGGTTACAGGTTAAGTTTTTTCAGTTACGGTTAACAAAACGTTAAAAATTATTTTCTTTTGTTTGAAAGAGTTAAATATTAATAAACCTGTATTTTTTGTAGCTTCAAAGCAAAGTAAAGGTCTTAGGATCATCTCGGGATAAAATGAAGTTATTCTTTTGAAAAATTTTAACATTTGCTAGATCATACTATTTATAAAGTATTCCATTTCTACTATTATTTTACGCATAGACACGTCAATAGTCAATTTAAAAATAACTTTTGTGAAAAAGCAAAGGCAGACACGCGAACGCCCAACTCAAGGCAGGGGGGACATTCATTTATAACAGCATAAATGGCCGTTTTCACACTAGAGACGGATTATTTAAAGTGAGATGGGTTAATTTTGAATGAACAATCCGCCTGACTTTATCCATCAGTTTTGACGGACAGTTTGAATATGAATTATCCGTTTCAGATAGCCTGTGTACATCCGCCCCCTCCCCTCGGAAAAAATTCGAAGAAGCGGTGTCTGTGGGGGAGGGGGCCACTGTGCACAGACGGATAATCCATTTATAGATCTAGTTTTAAAACGGCCAATGTTTTTAATGATAGCGAAGGACTGTACAGAAAGACTGTCTGCCGTTGCCTTGTCCATAGGCCTCATTATTCCGCGCGGCTAATACGTTTCGGGTCACGTGGTCAGAGCGAGTGCGAGTTTTGTTCTCAGATACGCTCCCGAAATGCCTTTACCGAGATTGCGTGGGTGGACGCCGAACAGGGACTAGGCATGACAATGTCTACCTTAGCGTCAGAGAAAAACAGGGCATTATTACAGAGAATTGTTGTTTATCGGCAACGTGTTTTACAAACAGTGACATCACTAGTATTTCGAGGGCACGACCTCCTGTGCAGTCCTGAAAATCGCAAATTTTAATCTCCAGCAAGAAGCCAGATTTTCGCTATGGAAAAAATTGATTCCCCGAGAGAGCGGTGGAAATGGTGTCTAGGTCTAGGTCACAACTAAAAGGCGCTTGGCCTAACGTGCGTACGGAGTCAAAGTAGCCGGAAAATAAATAACCAGAATTAAATAACGCAACCATAAGTGAGTCTAGCACCTTCCTAAAATCAACAAATCTAGGGAACAATTTCCTCTCCGGTTAACTCTTTTTTACCCTATTTACGGCTAATGGTTAAAATTTTTCAATTTTTACGGCTATTGACTAAATTTTTGGCCGTTTTACGCCTTTCAATTAACCCCATTAAGACCCTCCCAGTAGAGAAATTAGGCGTAGATGAAAAACTACGTCAGATTGAACGTATTCTAAAACAACAGTTAGTGGAATCGAATAATGGTTAAGGCGTTTAGTGGTAGAATATTAGAGGTTTCAATCTATGTCTCCTCTTACCAACACAGGTTCGTCCGTCTCCTGTATATCCAGCTTTGCACGTGCAGGTATATGAGGACGCGGTATTTTGACAAACAGCATTGATACCGCAGTCATAGGAATCAGAATCACATTCATCCAAGTCTAAATATTCAAAAAAACCATCGAATTCATTAAAGGTAGATTAAAATATGATTGACTACTATTAGAGATTGCAAAATCAGTCTCCGTTAACAAATTTCTTTCTTTGAATGGGCGGAAGCTATAAAATATGAGCAACTGCAAATCATTAAATCAACTACTGTAACAGTAAACGGATCGAGTTAAATTTTGTTAATTACACTTAAGAATAAACATGAGCGAAAAAAAGTTTAACACAACGTTTGCCATGACATCATTATCAAGTGACAAAGATAAAAACTAACAACTGACATAATATATGCGGTTTAAAGTTCCAAAATAAAGAACATAAGTGACAAGTTTGCACGTACAAATGAAAAAATGCGAAAATATGTTAATTAAGGATGTTTTCACGCTTAGCGTGCGTATATCGAGTTATGGATGCACTTGGGAAGTTTGGAGAGCACGAAAGATGCTTAAAAGTTGCTCGAGGCGTAGCCTTCTAGCTTCTTGTGTGCTCTCCAAACTTCCCAAATGCATCCATCGAAATACGCACAGCTAAAAGCATGAGGAAATTCTTTTACAACATAAATGACGACAATGCTTGCTTTTTGATCAACTGCAAAATTCTCCATAACGCGCAACACAAAAACAAACGCTTCTATTGGCTGGTTACAAACACGCCACAATCATGTAGTTTGAATGAAAATTCTTTCTGTAAAACTGAGAAGGAAAATTTGCTTATTTATTCTTTAACGATCACTGGAAACTAAGCAGAATTAAAGATAAAAAAGTCAAAGTCCACCTAAAGTTAATACTCATGGTCACATGTTCGTATGTTATAAGAAGTCGTGGAGTATGGTTTGGATTTGCTGAAAAGATGTATATGTTTTGCGCGGCGAGATCCAAAAAACTTGTTTTTTCAGCGAAGACGAATGTCATCCCATACTTTAAACTTATATTCATTTACGAACAATGGCTAGTCAATACAGCTTCTTGAGAAGACCTGGCAGCAGTTGTGTTTGTGAGTAATAAATGTATGTCTTCTTGTGTAATTTGTCTTGTTGTTGCAAGAGAAATTTTCCTGCTTCAGTCAGATTGTTCGGCTATAACAAAAGTGCATAATTTTTCCCTATTGAGCTTATTTTATAACTAACTTGTTTTGTAAAGAATTAAAAAACGTTAAAAACGGAGGACACTATACAAATTGGATATTTTCCGACAAAGACGAATTTGTGGTATCTTTCCAGCTGAATGTCAGCCCTTACGGCAGACTTTTCAACGACTCAGGCTCGACCAATTTGCCGGAAACATCTTCACCTCTTTTGCTGGTGGTTTGAGTGGCTAGAAGCTAAATTTCAAAAAAATCTAGAACGTTTTTTACTATTGCCGTCGATGTTTGAACACAACTTATTAAGAGGCTACCTCATATCTCCTTAATCGTGTTGGGAAAACTATTTCTCCAGTTTCAGTTGCTAAGGATCTCGGAGTATACATTGATCAATATCTTACCTAATGATGTACATGTTACTAAAACAGTCTCTAGTTGCATGAACCAGTTGGTACAGATAGGTAGAATTAAACATCTTTTAGATAAGGAAACCCTCCTATTACTTATAAGTAGCTTTTTTTTCAGTAATAAAACGTTTCTATTGTTCCTCAGTATGGGGGAACACATCTAAACGCAACCTACACAAACTTCAGTTGGAACAAAATTTTGCTGCCAGAGTTGTATTCGGTTGAAAGAAGTTTGACCACATCTGCCAGGGACGAAGATCTCTTAAATGGTTAGATGTTTCGGAGAAGGTTCCATTTAATGACTTAGTTTTAGTAGTCTCAATAAAGTATGTACTATGTATGTATGTTATAAATATGTTTTGCCTGATTTACGAAAACCTTTTTATTAAAGAGAAGAAACCAAGCCTAAACACACAATCAGACACCGTCAGGGCAAAACTGTTTGTTTAACATATTTTGTAATTCTTGTATTCAAGTAGTGTTCTATTACGATTTTCACGCGATTACAAGTACTGGTAATATAATAGCCAGTCACATTGGAGACATTTGTTATAGACTAGATGACTATGAGTTGGAAAGGGCTTGTTTAAGCATATACTGCGTATAACATCTTTCATCTAATGGTTGTTACTTCAGTGACTCCAATTTGCAATTAATTAGAAAAGATGAGTGATAGAGTGAGTAATGTGCATCAAAGAAACCTATTTTAAAGGGGAAACGGTCAATTTATTGCACTCTTTAAACACGGAGTGTTCTCCAGATTATTAATCGAACGAACAAATAGCAAACTGTGGTAATAAACATAAGGAAATATAAACGCATTTCAGGAAAGAAATAAAACTTTAACTTGACGTTTCGTATGTTCCTACATATATCTTCAGAAGCAATTAACCGTTCAATAACACCAGAAATTGAAATGTAGAATAAGTAACTAAGTCAAAGAAACAATAGAGACATATTGTAGGAAAATAAGCTTAATGTTTAATAAAAGAGCAGCAGTGTTTAATCAGGTATAAAATTACGAGCCGAAAGCCCTTGTATTTTCGAGATGTAAATGATAAGAATAATGAAAGCGAAAAGTGAGCGTACGGATAAGGTTTATCTTGTATTTTCGACGTGTCAAAGAGTCCCATTGAGCAAAAAAAATTGACGTTGACAAAAATGGGTTGCTATGTTTAATGAGTATGTCTAAGAAAGAGATCATGTTGTTATCCTCAAATTCAACAGTGGATTTGATATGCGCAAGGCAAATATTGAGATATCGCAGAAGCTGATTTGCTGCAACAAAGTGAAAGTAATCATAAATTACTTCGGAAGATGTATGTTGGAGCATACGCAACGTCAAGTTAAAGTTTTATTTCTTTTCAGCAATGCGTTTATATCCCCTTATGTTTATCACCTCAGTTTGCTTTTTGTTGCTTCTTAATCGAACGACTTGAAAATAGTCACCGCTACTCTTAACCCACTCGTTCACAAAACAAAATTGATGTTTTCTTCCCAATTTTGATCGGATAAACCCAAGACTCCAACAATTAGGAAAGATATCAGTCAGCAGGGCAACATCATTGAGTGTATATGCATGTATACCAGCAGGTTCCTTAAAGGTTTCATGAATATTACCCGTAAAGCGAGTGAAGTTGTAGCAGTTATCGCACGGTACATCGTTCCAGGTATATCCACCCCAGGAATCAAGAGTGTGTACACAATCTTCATTTTTCCAGTTATTTGGTTGGTTTCTAGCCCAGAACCTAAAACTGCTTAATTCTTTGTTGGTCCAGACGAATGATCCTTCCACGCTCCGATCATTGAGTCCAATCCTGGATTTATCACCGTTATGACGGCGCTGGATGTAAACATTCTCTTTTTGGTTGTGGACCGTCACGAGACTGGAGCCCATGGTAGAACAGTTTGATACAGCGGTCAGCCATGTAGCGCATGCCTGACTTGTGATGTAGCAATAACCCCCAAAGTAGCTCCACCCTAGCTTGCATATATCTGCAAAAGATTTATATCAGGTTTTAGTACATAGACACTCAGTGATCTTGGCATTTCCAGCAATATAATTGGCCACTTCGCATTATTGTGATTTTTGAATAAGCGTAAAGAATAAGTGAACATAGTCGGCACAGGCAAACTAGTCTGCAAAGTGAGATGCACGGGCCGAAAGTTCTCTTGCGTCGTTCTCTTGTTACTAGACCTATCAGCGGCTAGACCTATCCATGCGTCGTTCTCTTGCTGCTAGACCTATCAGCAGCCTTCGAAGATCTTGTTACACAGACTGCGATCCAGGTTTGGTATAAAAGGAAAAGCGCTTTCGTGGCCTCAGACTTATCTTACGGATCGCTCCCAGTCAGTTAACATTGATGGATTTACTTCTTCAGATCGTCCGCTCAGATTTGGTGTACCCCAGGGGTCCGTGTTGGGTCCTTTGCTATATCTGTTATACACGGCCCCACTAGGTGACCTAATACGATGGCATGATATGGACTTCCATCTTTATGTTGATGATACTCAACTGTACACCACCTTCAGTTGCGATGATAAGGATGATCTTACCACTACAATTTCCCGGATTGAAAGCTGTCTTGTCGATATCACCAACTGGATGACTACTAATAAATTGAAACTAAATACTGACAAAACGGAACTTCTCATACTCTACTCTAGGTTCAGACTGCCCCCACGGCTACCTTCTATTAGGAACTGAAATCATCAAGCCTACAAATAAGGCGCGTAATATCGGCGTCATTTTCGATAGCACCGTAAAAATGTCTTTTCATATTAACAACATACTTAGTTAAAATGGCATTCTACCACCTTAGAAATATAGCTAAGATTCGTAAGTATATCAGTGTCACAACGGCTGAAGTTCTTGTGCACGCATTCATAAATTCGAAGCTGGATTTCTGCAACTCGCTTTTACATGGTCTTCCCAAGTATGAAATTAATTAACAAATTGAAAAGTGTCCAAAACGCTGCAGCACGTGTGATTGCCTGCTTACGTAAGTTTGATCACATAAGTGATACTCTAAAGGAGTTGCACTGGGTACCAGTGNTGTACACCACCTTCAGTTGCGATGATAAGGATGATCTTACCACTACAATTTCCCGGATTGAAAGCTGTCTTGTCGATATCACCAACTGGATGACTACTAATAAATTGAAACTAAATACTGACAAAACGGAACTTCTCATACTCTACTCTAGGTTCAGACTGCCCCCACGGCTACCTTCTATTAGGAACTGAAATCATCAAGCCTACAAATAAGGCGCGTAATATCGGCGTCATTTTCGATAGCACCGTAAAAATGTCTTTTCATATTAACAACATACTTAGTTAAAATGGCATTCTACCACCTTAGAAATATAGCTAAGATTCGTAAGTATATCAGTGTCACAACGGCTGAAGTTCTTGTGCACGCATTCATAAATTCGAAGCTGGATTTCTGCAACTCGCTTTTACATGGTCTTCCCAAGTATGAAATTAATTAACAAATTGAAAAGTGTCCAAAACGCTGCAGCACGTGTGATTGCCTGCTTACGTAAGTTTGATCACATAAGTGATACTCTAAAGGAGTTGCACTGGGTACCAGTGGAGAAAAGAATAATCTTAAAGATTAATTTGTTTTAAGATACTCAACAATTTAGCTCCTGATTATTTGGTTGACCTAATCCATTTTTATGAACCTGCGCGGTACTTTCGCTCATCTTCAGACAAGTGGAGTCTTGTTGTTAAACCCTATAACTTAAAGACATACGGTTTAAGGGCTTTTTCAGTCATTGCCCCTATACTCTGAAACGATTTGCCTATATATTGACATTAGATCGATCGATGATGTAAATAAATTTAAATCTAAATTGAAGACCTTTCTTTTTAAGCGAGTTTACGAACTATCTTAGGTTTTTTTGTTTTGTAATTTTGTGACTATGTATATATATGTAAATGATTCTAGGCTTTCTATTTTTTATCCAGACCTTTTTGAAGCATTGTAAAGCACTTAGCACTGAAAAGTATAGGCGCTATATAAATATTTATTATTATTATTATTATTATTATTATTATTATTATTATTAATGTTCTTTTATCTTGGTGATTCGTTTTTCGTGTAATGGACAAATTGCTTTAATGTTCTCTGTATAACACCTACACCTTCGAAATTCATCGCGAAAAGCATTTGTTGGATTTCTTGGTCACCAAGACGTCTGCAAAAACAAGTACAGGGTGTCCCAAAAGTTCGTTGCTCTTCAGTTCGTGCGCTATAACTTTTGATCAAACCTTTATTTTTACCTAAAGACGCTCGTCTCTACAATTCCCGGATGATCCATTTTGAGCTCATCTGGATGGTAAGTGGGGGCACTGCGACCCCCAAACAATATCATTTTTTCGATTATGCAGCTGAAAAAAAAATCATTTAAGGCATTTATCAAAAAAAAAAAAAAAAACTGATCACCAGATTTAGACGGATACGGAGTGTAAATGGGGGACCACGAAACCACAAAAAAAATCATTTTTTTAAATAAAAAAAAGAAAAAAAAAACTTTTAAAGGATTTTTACAAAAAAAAAAAAAAAGGTACAAACATCTCGGCCCTCTTTCCTCAGTAAGGGTTTTCTCCGGTTCCGGTTACTTCTTTCCATACAATTTGACTTGTGCTGAACGTCGCTTGGCAGAATGAGCAGACATTTAATTGTTTTACCATCTCAGGGGCCTCCAACCTTCTTTTTCATGAATCTTCTCCAGACTTAGCTTGCTAACTATTATATTGTGAGAGCTAACTCGTCGAATTTCCTCTTTTGTACCTAGCCCTCTTTAAAGCTATTTTAGCTGCTTCATTCGGGACTTCAGTCTTCTCCTTTGTTTCTTGTTTTCAAAACCTTCATTTTTCGATGACCATTTTATCACCCAAAATTCGGATTTTTCCAGATTTTTAGCAATTTCTGTAGCTGATAAGCCAGTAGATCGATGTATATAGTACTTATGCTCTCATGTAGGTGAACATTTTTGAGCTCTGAGGGTTTATATTCACAGAAAACAATCATCAGGAGTTCCAAAAATTTGGGCTACAAAATAAAAAAAGAAACCAAATGTGGCGGGGAAAAATACTCGTGCAATTTGTGCACTTGACGTAAAGTACACAAATAGAATGTTCGAGTCAGAAGATGGCACAACAAGTATGAAATATTAATTAGATTGAAAGAGGCATGAACTTCTGGGACAGCCTGTAGTGTTTTTGCTTCGCTGTGCGATCCACGCTCGTTCCATACGTGATGCGATTTTCGACAAAAATATAAACTTTGGCGACGCGAGGGTTTTCGGTCCACGCTTTAGGCAGTATCGCCTCACCAAGAAAAAACACTGAAGCCTTCAGTAGCTCTGAGGTCTTAAATTATCAAAAAAACCTGTAAGGAAGAATTAGGTTTACATGATAATCTGGTCTATTGGCGACGTGCCCTATGCTATTACAAACCAATAATAAAAATTAAAAAATTAAAAAAAAAAGGAACCAGACTTTTCCCAGCAACTCATGACAAAGTACAATGTAACGTATTTGTTATAAGTTACCACCACGCCCTCAGTGTGTTCTTATTACCATATGTTTTTCCAGATAAAACCTTCTCAGCTGATAAGACCATGTATTGTATCGAGAGGGGATCATATTTAGACTCATATAATCCTTTAAACAAACTCTTGCACCCGTCGTGTTGATATACTGTGGAATAAAAAATAGACGCGTGGTTATAGCTTCAAAAACTTGCCAGCACACCCCTCCAATGGAAAAAAAAATTAGTAATGGTTCGGCCATCGTTAGAAGCAGTTTAAATTATGAGTGGGTACAGATTTAAGAGACAGGAATTCTAGTGGGTTGAGTTGGTGCACGTCTTATATGTTGCTCTTGCTCTTGTGTCAACAGTTCAGTTTAGCCTCAAGTTTGCAAGATTAAAATTAGGTAGAAGAACAGTTCGAAGCTTGGTTCTGTTTATAATGAACAATTGAGTTCACTGGTTTTCAAATAGTAATAATAGAGAGATTAAGATTCACGTTTACGCCAAACGGCAAACGTGAATTTGTACCACGTGACCAGGTTTTCCCCGTAATTTTCGTTTACTTTTTATTACTTTTACTAAAAAATAAGTAGCTTCACGCCAGTTTTTTCCATAAGAATTGTTCTGGACAGTTTTTAATTAGCTGCTTATTTTTTCTATTCTGAGACAATCTCAACATGAATCTGACGTTTGCTGTTTGGTGTAAACGTGAATCTTAATCTCTCTATTATCCGCTCCACGCTCTCTGAGAGGATTTACGCGCCGACTACTTCATTATATGCTGATAGCCAGTTTGCTTATGTTTAGTCTGTAATGACAGAATTAAGAATAGAGACGATTCATGCTATTTTGACGTTTCCCTCTCGGCCCTATCTCTTTTTGCCAAATAAAAAAAGAGGTTTTGCGCTCCATGGAAGGGTTCTGATAAAAGAGGTTACTCTCCGAGGACGGCATCCGGAGAAAAGAAAAATCGATCTCTTGTTCTAGTCTATTTCCTGTCCCAGTCTAAGGTCTTCCCTTGCGCTTTTTCCCTCTCTCCACGGCATCTCTGGCAAGATTTATCGCGACCGATTCTTAAATTTCAGAAAGCCCATAACACACCTTGTTTATCCAAAAAATGTTGAAGAAAGTGGCGAATTGCTTCAATCTGCTGGTGCTTTTCTTGCTTTG